AAAGTTCAAAGAAGGTTGTTGCAACTGTCAATCAGCTGATCAGCAATCGCAGCAACCTCCTTTGAAGAAACATGTTCAGCAGCGATCAGCTGATTGCTGCAGGGAGCGCAACTGAGCCTTTGGCCTGATCCAGTAGGCTTACACTCTAGCTAAAATAAAATAATCATTGTTTGTCTGTAGGTTAGAATCCTTTTAATTTCAAGGGGAAAGTTAAATTAATTTTTGAGGGAGGAAAACTGCATGCAAATGGAATAATTGTCCCTCACATTTGAAAAGCTTTTAGTTTTTTGGCAATGGATGTGTAGATGTAATAAATACGTGAATTCATAAACTTATGGCATGCAGTATGGCTTAATTTCTAAATAAGAGATATAGAGTTATTTTTATCTCAAAAGAAGTGCAGAGATATTTTTTTTTAGTGCAAAGACAAAGGCCCTCTGCACATGTGTAATGGCACGCTTTCTTGAGGAAGTGTACAAGTCCTATTGTGTTGACAACGCACGGTTCAAAATGAGAGAGCTATGAAATCCAAAAAAACTTTAGAACCATCTTTTTGTATGCAACTACGGCAGCTAGAATTTTAGTAGCAAAAAACTGGAAATTCCTACAAAGACTCAATTCCTACAAAGCTTGACTGGCAGATGAAGATGATAGAATACTTGGAACTTGCAAAAATGACTGGAAGAATAAGAGGAAACTCAAACCAGAAAGTGTGTAAAGAATGGATAACATTTAAAAAAGATCTAAAACAATATTGTGAAAATGCAAATCTCCTGACAGGTCTAGATTGAATCTTGAATATTAAGGAAAACTCTAAATGTAGAAAATTTTCTGGATATGTAACAGATATAACAGGAAATGCAAAAAGGTTAAGAATATGTAGAAAGCAGAATGAGGTGAATCGGAAGTCAAAAGTGTGTGTGATGTTAGACAATGTGTTGTTAGTTAATGTTTAGTTGTCATTCAGGTATTGTCTTTGTGTTGTTATATGTAAATTGTTTTGCAATAAAGTTTTTTTAAAAACCCACAAAGTGGCAGAGCTATGAGCCTCATTGGGGTGATACCCAGAAGCACCCAGGATGTCTTATAAATCTGGACGGTTATAGCTAGTTTGGTTATTGCTCGCAGTGGAAATTGTGGTTTTCAGTTTCCTGATGATGACATAAGATATGGAAGTTCCCCAGAGGGAAGGTCTGCGCAGTGAGCCACATGCCATTGGGTGGAGCCTTGGGGATTTATTTGCAATTCAAATGAAGGAATCACAGAGTTGCAGAGTTGAAAGGGAACCCAAGGGATCATCTAGTCCAACCCCCTGCAATGCAGGAATCGCAGCTGAAGAATCCCTGACCGAGGGCCCTAAAACCTCTGATTACAAACCTGCAATGAAGGAGAGTCCACCACATTTTGAGGTTGTCCATTCCACTGTTGAACATCTCTTGCCGCCAGAATGTTCTTTCTAATGGTTGAGTTGCAATCTCATTTCTTGTCATTTGAATCTATTGGGTTTGGGTTCTACCCTCTGGAGCAGCAGAAAACAATACAGTGGTACCTCAGGTTAAGAACTTAATTCGTTCCGGAGGTCCGTTCTTAACCTGAAACTGTTCTTAACCTGAAGCACCACATTACCTAATGGGGCCTCCCTCTGCTGCCGCGCCACCGGAGCACGATTTCTGTTCTTATCCTGAAGCAAAGTTCTTAACCTGAGGTACTATTTCTGGGTTAGTGGAGTCTGTAACCTGAAGCGTCTGTAACCTGAAGCGTATGTAACCCGAGGTACCACTGTATTGCTCCATCTTCCATGTGACAGCTCTTCAGTTATTGAAGATGGCTAACGTGTCACCTCTGTCTTCTCATCTCCAGGCTAAAAATTCCCAACTCCCTCTAGGGTTTCCAGACCCTTGACCATCCTGGTTGCCCTCCTCTCTACAGTTTGTCAATATCCTTGTGGGTGTGAGTTGGCCGTCACAGCAGACTGAAAATCATCCTCTGGAAAACTAAGATATTGTTACATGCCACCACCCCACTTTCTGAGCGGTGCAAGTTTCCAGGAATCCAGGGACTTACACAGGGTCTATGTTTCCTTTGGAGAAGAGGCACAGCTGAGATTGTGGTGTCTTTATGATAGATGGTTTATTTACACATATATCCAACCTGAGCCTGCCGTGGAGGGGGTTCAAGGCATTACACTCCAAGAGGGTCCCATTTTTCCCATTGGATTCAAACTGTCAGCCCAAATTGACCTTTCACCACCACTCCTCCAGTTTGCTGCATTTGACTGACACCTCTGTTCCTTGATCATGCCACAGCCAACTGAAATCCTAAAACTTCCTCCTAACAAAAACTCTGAGTTCAGGGAGGGGCTCTCCCCCCCCAAAAAAAAACTGTTTGCAGGTTGGCACAGAGTCTTTGATTTGCTGATAGCCCAACTTTCTGTCTCCCCCCCCCCCCACCAATGGCCCATCTTTCAAGCGATCTTTTGAAGACAGGGAGACGAAAGTCTGACTTCCAGCTTAACTCTCCAAGCACTGATTAAATTCTAACATTTACTAAGTCTAGGAATGATGGGTGCCTTGCACCCACAAACGCTGGCACCCACAAACTCATAACAATATTAAACCTGGACACAAGAATTTTGATCATTTAGAATCAAAACTTACTAAGAATCCCTGAGTTTCTTTCATGTTTCCCACCATAATGAAAAATATTTTTGTAGGTTTTCATTCCTAACCTTGGAGCAATATGTTGTCTTTCTTGCTTTTTAAATAATTGCTTTTTCCACGCCTTCCCCCCGCCTTTTTTCAAACAAGGAACTAAATGACTGTTTTCTTAGATAGATCTAAAAGATAGAAAAACCCAATGGGGTGTCCAAGGGAGCTTCTAACATCACAAAATAACAAGGAAGTGAGTCACAGGAAGTGCTAGATGCTTATGCTGGAATTTTGCTTCGTATGACCAAAATAAGAACATAAAAAAAGGCTTGGCCCATCTAGTCCAGCATCCTGTATCCACAGTGGCCAATCAGATGGCCCCGAAGGAGGAAGCATGGCAGCCGTTGGGATGTCGTCATTGCTTCTGCTCAGTTCTGCAGCTCTTCCTTTGCCCTTGAACCTTGGAAGGATCCTGACCTCGGGCTCTGTGCTTGCATCTAGCACTTCCTGCTATTAGCCCAAATAAAGAGCTTATTCATTTCTTCATTGCACTTATATCCCACCTTTGTTCTCCTCCTCACGCAGCAACCCTGTGAAGTAGGCTAGGCTGAGAGACTGTGGCTGGCCCAAGGTCATCCAGTGACCTCCATGGCTGAGTGGGGACTCGAATCCTGGTCTCCCAGTTCCTAATCTGACACTTTAACCCAGGAGTCAGCAACCTTTTTCAGCAGGGGGCCGATCCACCGTCCCTCAGACCATGTGGTGGGCCGGACTATATTGGGGGGAGGGAATGAATGAATTCCTATGCCCCACAAATAACCCAGAGATGCATCTTAAATAAAAGCACACATTCTACTCATGTAAAAACACACTGATTCCCTGACCGTCCGCAGGCCGGATTGAGAAGGAGATTGGGCCGTTTCTGGCCCCCGGGCCTTAGGTTGCCTACCCCTGCTTTTAACCACTGCACTGGCTTTTCCTTGTGCCCAAATACGTAAGAGCTGTTGAGCTGTGTCATCCTGTAACTGTTCACTCAGAAGTGAACTATGTTCCGTGATAAATAATAAGGAAAGCCCCCAGCCTCAGTTCCCCAAGCTGTGAAATGGGAGGCATGAAGGAGATGCCCTTTCAATGAAATAGAAGGGGATATCATTCTAGAACCAAACACATAGGGGGAAAATTCCACACCAATGTAGTTAACATAGTTAATTAATTAATTAATATCACAAGGCTGCAAGTAATACATTTGTGTTTACATTATCCTGTACCTTATTATTCCAGGAAATAATAAAAGACCTATTTCTCAATAAGGGCATTATCTTGTTGATAATGTTTCTCACCATATATGCAAGCTTAACCATGCATACAGAGTCCCACATTTTTGTTCTCCATTCTTTCGTGGGCAGTGTCCTCATTACCGCCCCCCAGTTTTGACAAATAATAACTCTGACAGCATGGGACGCAGGTGGCGCTGTGGGTAAAAGCCTCAGCGCCTAGGGCTTGCCGATCGAAAGGTCGGTGGTTCGAATCCCTGCGGCGGGGTGCGCTCCCGTCGTTCGGTCCCAGCGCCTGCCAACCTAGCAGTTCGAAAGCACCCCCGGGTGCAAGTAGATAAATAGGGACCGCTTACAAGCGGGAAGGTAAACGGCGTTTCCGTGTGCGGCTCTGCCTCGCCAGAGCAGCGATGTCACGCTGGCCACGTGACCCGGAAGTGTCTCCGGACAGCGCTGGCCCCCGGCCTCTTGAGTGAGATGGGCGCACAACCCTAGAGTCTGGCAAGACTGGCCCGTACGGGCAGGGGTACCTTTACCTTTTTAACTCTGACAGCAGTTAAGAGTTCATAGAATAATGGGGTCAAAGATGCTGCGTTAATTCCCTGTCCTCTATTAGCACAGTTTCTTTAACATATCCAAATTGTAAAATTAGAAGATTCACAGGTATAGCCAGTCATTCCTTCAATTTCCACTGCAATATCTTTCCAAGATTGGGAACATCTCCAGAATATCTGCTCTATCCCAGCATTTACAGCTTTCATACCTACGGAGCTAAAAACTGAAAGCATACATTTGGTATTTGAAAAAAAAACCAGGATAATAATTCTGGGCTTGTGCTCTTGAGAAGCAGAGAAAAGCTTGGCTTGGGGGACAGATTCTGCAGCTTGGATCAAATGTTCAGCCAGATGGTTTGTATTTTAGAGAAACCAGGCCAGAGGCCACGAACTCTCCAAGATCTGATCCCTGGAAGGAGCTGGTCTTTTTCATGGGTGGAGCCAAGATAGTTCTCCACCCCACGCAAAAGACTTTCCGGCCTTGCAGGCAAGCAAAAGTAGATTGCACAATCCGAGCTTGACAGCAGGTTCGTAGAAAAGGCAGAGGTGGAAATTCCAGGCTCAAGCCCCACCTTCTCCATGCTATAAATTTGGACAGAGGCTTCTGGAGTGAGAACCAAAGCAGAAGAGCAGCAAGCAGCCTTGGATCGAGAACCACAGGTAAGGATGCCTCCATAGATTCCCCTCCCACCTGGTTCCTGGTCACAGGCATCCTCCTCTCTTGGTGGCGCTGCCGAGGAGATGATGGATGGGGAGACTTCCTTTGGAGAGCATACCCAAGCTCACCTTTGCAGCCAAATCCTGAAGCTCCTTCCCCTCCACCCTGCAGCCCCTTCCACCCAGATTGCCAGAGCTTGCCCCCTGCCAATTGGGGTTGCCAAGAGAAGCTTCCAGGGAATGGTCATGTCTTTCAGCACTTGGCAGGTTGCCGCTCAAGAGGCAATATGGTGTAGTGGTTAGAGCAGAGCTTTCCAAACTGTGTGTTGGCATCTCGCGCAAACGCTCCCCGTGCTCCTGCCGGGGCTGTTTAACCTCTGGTTTGCTAGGAAAACTCCATTATTGTGTCGCGAAATGATGCATGTCTAAAACGTATGTCACCATTATGAAAAGTTTGGAAAGGTCTGGGTTAGTGTGACGGAATAGGAGCTGGGTTCAAATCCCTCCACTTGGCCACGAATGAAGCTTGCTGGGTGGTGAATTTGGGCCAGCCGCTACCTCTCAACCCAACCTACCTCACAAGACTGTTGTTGTGGGGATTAAATGAGGAGGGGGGATGAACCATGCACGCCACCTTGAGCTCTTTTGAGAAAAAGGTGGGATATATAAATGCAATAAATAAGAGTCTAAGGCAGGGGTAGGCAATCTAAGGCCTGTGGGCTGGATGCGGCCCAATCGCCTTCTCAGTCTGGCCCATGGATGGTGCGGGAATCAGCGTGTTTTTACATGAGTAGAATGTGTCCTTTTATTTAAAATGCATCTCTGGGTTATTTGTGGGGTCTGCCTGGTGTTTTTACATGAGTAGAATATGTCCTTTTATTTAAAATGCATCTCTGGGTTATTTGTGGGGCATAGGAATTTGTTCATTATTTTTTTTCTTTTCAAAATATAGTCCATCCCCCCACAAGGTCTGAGGAACAGTGGACCAGCCCCCTGCTGAAAAAGTTTGCTGACCCCTGCCCTATAGTATAGGATCTATGTTTACCAATAAATCATTGGAAAATACTTACTAGATTTTTGGTTTTATTAATCTCTCTAAGGATTTGTTTTTCACTGGGTAGTGAACAATAGCTTCCAGCAACAAAACAATTGTTCCGGCCCTGAGCTGTGGTATGTCCAAGGCCCAGCTGGCATGAGTTGCCATATTTTGAAGAGCAAAAAGGAGGACCCTATGATGACTCTCATTTTAAATACCCCTACTCTATGTAGGCTATAAAAGGGAGGCGGGTGGCGCTGTGGGTTAAACCACTGAGCCTAGTGCTTGCCGATCAGAAGGTCGGCGGTTCGAATCCCTGCGACGGGGTGAGCTCCCATTGCTCGGTCCCAGCTGCTGCCAACCTAGCAGTTTGAAAGCATGTCAAAGTGCAAGTATATAAACAGGTACTGCTCCGGTGGGAAGGTAAACGGCGTTTCCATGCACTTCTCTGGTTTGCCAGAAGCGGCTTAGTCATGCTGGCCACATGACCCAGAAGCTGTACGCCAGCTCCCTCGGCCAGTAAAGCGAGATGAGCGCCACAACCCCAGAGTCGTCCGCGACTGGACCTAACAGTCAGGCGTCCCTTTACCTTTATGTAGGCTATAGAAGCTGTAGTATATTGCTATGGGGGGGGCAGGAGGAGAGAAGAGGAAAGCAAGCCTTCAACCACCAGTTATGTCTATGTACCGTATTTTTCGCTCTATAGGACGCACCAGACCATAGGAAGGGGAGAACGGGGGGGAAATTTTTCTTGTTCTCCCCCTCTAAAACAAGGTGCGTTCAAGGTGCATTCACCCAAAGCCTCTGGAGCGCAGCGGGAGTTCCCGCTGCACTCTGGAGGCTTCAGGCGGCTACCTTGGAAGCCTGGAGAGGGAGAGGGGTCGGTGCGCACTGACCCCTCTCGCTCTCCAGGCTTCAGTGAAGGCAACGCAAAGCCTCTGGAGCACGCGGGGAGTTCCCGCTGGGCTCCAGAGGCTTGGCTTCAGGTTCCTTTCGACCTGCTCTTTGGAGCTGGCGGGGGGAAGCGCTGCTTTCCCCCACCGCCAGCCTCAAAGATCCCTGAAGCCTTTGGAGCGCAGCGGGAGGTCCCGCTGTGCTCCAAAGGCTTCAGGGATAGCTTTGCGCAGCCATCCCCAAGCTAGAACAGCGAGACGGAGCGCTCCGTCTCGCTGTTCTGGCTTGGGAACAGCCTTGGGAACAGCTTTTCTAGCCTCTGCAGCGCTTCGTCTCCCTGTTCTGGCTTTGGGCTTAGCTGCGCAGCCTGCATTCGCTCTATAGGACGCACACACATTTCACCTTAATTTTTGGAGGGGGAAAAGTGCGTCCTATAGAGCGAACAATACGTTATAGCCAGAGACATTTCAGCAAATTTAAAAAATCCACCTGGACAGAAATTTTACCCCTGAAAAAGAGGACATGTCCTGGAAAAAGGGGGGGTGTGGGAACCCAATTCAAGGGTGGGGGCTGTGGCTGGTGGGGCTCACCCTTGCACTTTTCCCGTTCCAGACACAACCATGGCCAGAGTCCCAGATGTGTTGCTGAGAGACATCAGGTGAGAATCTTCCCCGCTTTCCTTGCTGGGTCATCTGCACTCCTGGTACCTGCTTATGCAGAGGCAGAAGCAGGGTTTTCTGTGGTGGGGTGTGATGGGTGGCCCCATAGGAAGTCATGGAGCGCCCCCCCCCAGTCCTTGAACCTCATCATTGCTCCTCAGCAGGGCTGACCCACTTGCCGCCTGGAACAGAGGGCAACACAACGTCTCTGCACGCAACTTGGGTGGCTGTAAAAGAAGAGTAGGTTGTCAATAGCTACTAGCCACTGTCAGAGGGGGACGCAGGTGGCGCTGTGGGTTAAAGCCTCAGCGTCTAGGACTTGCCGATCGAAAGGTCGGCGGTTCGAATCCCCGCAGCGGGGTGTGCTACCGTCATTCGGTCTAGCACCTGCCAACATAGCAGTTCGAAAGCACCTTCGGGTGCAAGTAGATAAATAGGGACCGCTTACCAGCGGGAAGGTAAACGGCGTTCCGTGTGCTGCGCTGGCTCGCCAGATGCAGCTTGTCACGCTGGCCACGTGACCCGGAAGTGTCTGCGGACAGCGCTGGCTCCCGGCCCATAGAATGAGATGAGCGCACAACCCTAGAGTCTGGCAAGACTGGCTCGTACGGGCAGGGGTACCTTTACCTTTACCTTACTGTCAGAGGCTGCGCTCTGCCTTCCCAGTTGGAGGTAGCAATGCTCCTGGATGCCAGTCGCTGGCAAACTGCGGGACCGGAGAGGGCTCTTGCACCCCAAACCTGCTTGCAGGTTTCCCATAATGGGAACTTCAAGTAATCCAGAATGCGGCAGCCAGACTGGTGACTGGGGGAGGCCGCCGAGACCACATAACGCCAGTCATGAAAGACCTACCTTGGCTCCCAGTACGTTTCTGAGCACAATCCCAAGTATTGGTGCTGAACTTTAAAGCCCTAAATGGCCTCGGTCCACTATATCTGAAGGAGTGTCTCCACCCCCATCGTCCCACCCGGACACTGAGGTCCAGCGCCGAGGGCCTTCTGGCAGTTCCCTCACTGCGAGAAGCCAAGTTACAGGGAACCGGGCAGAGGGCCTTCTCGGTAGTGGCACCCGCCCTGTCGAACGGATGTCAAAGAGAAGAACAACTACCAGACTTTTTAGAAGACATCTGAAGGCAGCCCGGTTTAGGGAAGCTTTTAATGTTTGATGCATTACTGTACTGTGGTACCTCGGGTTACATAAACTTCAGGTTACATACGCTTCAGGTTACAGACTGCTAACCCAGAAATAGTACCTCGGGTTAAGAACTTTGATTCAGGATGAGAACAGAAATTGTGCCGCAGCGGCAGCAGGAGGCTGCATTAGCTAAAGTGGTGCTTCAGGTTAAGAACAGTTTCGGGTTAAGAACAGACCTCCAGAACGAATTAAGTACTTAACCCGAGGGTACCACTGTATTTTAATATTTTGTTGAAAGCTGCCCAGAGTGTCTGGGGAAGCCCAGTCAGATGGGCGGGGTATAAATAATAAATTATAAATTATATTATTATTATTATTATTATTATTATTATGGGCACCTGGTTGGCCACTGTAAGAACAGAGTGCTGGACCAGATGGACCACTGGCCTGATCCAGCAGATGCTTCTGATGTTTTTACACAGAAGCCAAATCTACCAGCGGCTGAATCTTGCCTCCATGCCAGCAATGGGATTGCATCCTGCACCAACCTTGAGGGCCAGGGGCTTGTGACAGAGACTCAGTCCAGGCACCCACGGCTCAGACCCCCCAAAGAAACAGTGCAGAGCAAGGCGTTGCCTCAGGCGGAAGATGCTGGGGGCCGAGCAGCTATGAATGACATGCAGATGCCAGCTTGCTGCCCTCAGGGATGGGGGAGGACGGTGCCCCATCACGAACATTTTGAGGTTCAGCTGTAGCTCCAGGCGGTTTCCATATTGTCCTTTGCCTTAAGCAACTAAATCTCTCGGCCCGGTCCTGACCTTGGGAGGAACAGCCTCCCTTGCCTTCCAGCAGTTGCCGCCTGAGACAGTTCCCGCCTCCCTCTGCCCATCTTCATTTGTACATTGCTTTGAGGGTTGTTGCTTTTGAACGCTCAAGCATTGTATAAATGTTATGAAACAGGAAGGCCTTGCTTGACCCCGTCACTGCCGCCTATTTTTCTGCCCCAACCCAAAGTCCGTTCTCCCATTGCGGGATTCCTGGGTACCCCTCTGAGGAGTGCCACCGTCTCTGGCATCTTCCCACCCCAACCGGTGCTGCAAGGCCCCAGGGCGGCCTTCTTGCCTTCCTAGCCCTGCTGTCGCCTGGATGGGAAGAGTCACCAGCTGGCCAGGGCAGTGGTGGGCATAACCACCCCTTTTTTTTTTACTCCCCCTCTTCTTTTTTCCTTTCTCCTCCTGTGATGGAACTCCTATTTGGGGACTTCCCTGGCTTTTTTCTGGCCCGTGTAGGACCAGTCTGGAAAGTTAGCCTTGGTGAAGACCTGACATTTTCATCCCCAAAAAAGTTTTTGATTTGAGTTTCCATTCAAATGAGGCTGTATTTTAATTTTAATGTTTTGATGTTTTAATGTTGTATTTTAATCTTGTTTTTAAGTTGTATTTCAATCAATTTGTTTTTCTATCGGGTGTTAGCCGCCCTGAGCCTGGTCTTGGCTGGGGAGGCAGGGTATAAATAAAATTTATTATTATTATTTATTATTATTATTATTATTGAGTCCTATCCTTAAGGGTCTGCTATCTCAGAATCCAAACTCTCTTCTTCACCTCCTTCCCCGTCCCCCTTCCCTTCTAGTGAGGAAGAGATGGAGATGGAGTTCTCATTCGGCAACGAGGTAAGAAACCTTCAACATTTTGCGGGGTGGGAAGGGAAAACCCCATTACACAGCTCACCCCCTTATTCGGCTCCCACTTGAGAATAGGGGTGGCTTGCAAGGCTATCAGAGTGGTTTCAATGGTACCCAGAGGGCAGGGAAGGCTTGGGGGCTCAGCCCAGGAATTTGCCCTTCCAGACAGAGAGCTGTAGGCCAAGGTGTTTTTCACCTGGCACTTAAGCACAGTGCCATATAGTTAGGCTCAGGACTATTGTTGGGGAGGGGGACAGCCCCAGATCTTTTCCGCCAGGCCCCCAGGCCTCCTGCTCTTCCTCCCTCTACCCTCCCCTATGAAAAACATTGTTCAGAATAGTGGCGTGCATGAGCTATCGATGAGGATAACACAATGAAATGTTCTTTTCTTTTCAGTATAATTTTTATTGAATGTTACACAATTCTTCCAACACAAGATGACAAATCCTTGGCTGTTGTAGCCTAGGACTTCCCATCAACCTCTCCTAATGGTTTTCTGAATTCCTTTCTAATTACCGAATTTTTCGCTCCATAAGACGCACCTAGTTTTTAGAGGAGGAAAACAAGAGAAAAAATATTCTGAACGAAACAGTGGATGTATGATTTTTGTGGTTCATGCCTGCTATGGCCACAGACATGTGATCTGATGCTGAATTTGGGGTGACCCAATGCAAAAATCCTAAGGATCCATGTGGATCCGTGCTTTGTAGGGGACCACACATTCGCTCCATAAGACGCACAGACATTTCCCCTTACTTTTTAGGAAGAAAAAAGTGCGTCTTATGGAGCGGAAAAATACAGTATGCATTTTACGACTATGCTTATTGTTTTAAATCCAATCTTACATCAGCTAATCTTAATACTTCTCACAATAATTTGGATGGTCCTCCTTACAAAACTTCTTGCATTACTACAAGCGATGTTACGTAGTTACAGTTGTCTTTCAAATACAACATAAATTTCTTCCAGTCCTTTAGGAAAGGCTGGTCCCGCTGGTTTCAAATTTTCCCTGTAGGTCTTGGCAACTCGGCGGAGTCCATCAATTTTATTTGCCACTCTTGTTTTGTTCGCATTTCTTCTTGCTTCCGTCTTTGGGCTAATAGTATTCTTGCTGCCGTGGTCACATATAAAAAACAGGATTTTTTAAATCATTTTTATGAATTTCTGTACCTACCATACCCAATAAAAGAGCTTCTGGGTTTTTTTCAACATTATTTCAACATTTTTTTTTTATTTTGTTATAAATCATTTCCCAGAAGTATTTCACTTTTTTACATTCCCACCACATGCGGTAAAACGTGCCCTCTTTTTCTTTACATTTCCAACATGTATTATTTGTTTTATACATTTTGGCTTGTTTCACCGGTGTTATATACCATCTGTACATCATTTTCATTATATTTTCTTTTAATGCACTGCAGGCAGTAAAGTTTATTCCTTCTCTCCATAACCTCCCCCAATCGTCTATTGGTATAGGTAAAGGTAAAGGGACCCCTGACCATTAGGTCCAGTCGTGGCCGACTCTGGGGTTGCGGCACTCATCTCACTTTATTGGCTGAGGGAGCTGGCGTACAGCTTCCAGGTCATGTGGCCAGCATGACTAAGCCACTTCTGGCGAAGCAGAGCAGCGCATGGAAACGCCATTTACCTTCCCGCCAGAGCCGGTACCTATTTATCTACTTGCACTTTGACGTGCTTTCACACTACTAGGTGGGCAGGAGCAGGGACCGAGCAACAGGAGCTCACCCCATTGCAGGGATTCGAACCGCCGACCTTCTGATCGGCAAGTCCTAGGCTCTGTGGTTTAACCCACAGCGCCACCTGCGTCTATTGGTATATTATGCCCTATATCTTTAGCCCAATGTATCATTACTACAATGAAAACAGAAACAATTAATAACTGCACCTTTATTCAAAACCCAGTTGGAACGGTTTAGCTGAATTAATTGTTAATTCAGCTAATTAATTAAAAGCTAAACTGATGAACTTGATCTGGTGATGCCAGCTTTGCAAAGTCTGATATACCTCCAGTGCCCCCTGCTGCCTGCTTGCCTTTTAGCATCCCACACTCCCCCCAGGGAATCCCACTGCCCCACACTGCCCTGAGGGATCAAATAAAGAGGAGGGGTCCACATCTGTGGTGACCTGCTTCTTCTACTGCTGCTGCAGTGCTTACAAAAAGAAAAACCTGGATATTCTGCAATCTGAAGAGAGGCTAACAATAGAATAATAATAATAATAATAATAATAATAATAATAATAATAATAATACATTTTTATTTATACCCCACCCTTCCCAGTTCAAAAACTGGGCTCAGGGCAGCTAACAACAAATTTAAAACACTTAATTGTAAAAGCAGCATAAAAGACAGTATAAAAACACGAATAACAATAAAATTCAAAATTCAGAAATCAATTTAGGGGAAATAAGCATTAGATAATCCCCAGGGCTAGTTGGCTGAATTGGTCCTACTTGGGCCAGTAAGGAGGCCAGGGGAGAATTAGCTGTGGGGTCTCAGAGCGGGTAATCTTCATAAAAGGGGAGGGAGAGGGAAGAGAAGGGAAATAAAAGATCAGGCTGAATTCAAATTAAAGGCTGGGGGAATAGCTCTGTCTTACAGGCCCAATGGAAGGAGGTTAAATCCTGAATGGCCCTGGTCTCATGGGACAGAGCATTCCACCAGGTCGGAGCCATCACTGAAAAGGCCCTGGCCCTCACTCCCTCACGGAGTGAGCTCCCGTTGCTCGGTCCCTGCTCCTGCCAACCTAGCAGTTCGAAAGCACGTCAAAGTGCAAGTAGATAAATAGGTACCGTTCCGGCGGGAAGGTAAACGGCGTTTCCGTGCGCTGCTCTGGTTCGCCAGAAGCGGCTTAATCATGCTGGCCACATGACCTGTACGCCGGCTCCCTCGCCCAGTAAAGCGAGATGAGCGCCGCAACCCCAGAGTCGGCCAAGACTGGACCTAATGGTCAGGGGTCCCTTTACCTTTTTATCATATCTCCTCTTAGCCATCTTCTCCCCAAGCTTAAACATATTCAACTCCCTCAAGTGTTCCTCATAAGGAAAGAAGAGGGATTGACCTCTTGTTTCTTCTGCAGTTCTGGCCTAGGATGTTACTTCTGCTCCTCTGATAAGGCTGTAGCTTAGTTATCTGGTTGTAACTGCTCTTTACGTACTTGATTTCTAAGCATGTGTAAAGCTAAGGCTGAGAGATGTCTCTCTATATGCTTGTGTAAAGCAAATGCATTGCGGACTCGACCTTTGTGTGTTCCCCAGCGGCGGCTGGAGTTCTGGCCGAGCAAAGCTGTCTCAAACGTCACAGCTGGGTCTGGTTAAAATTACAGAGTTGGAAGGGGCACTGCAGTGGTCATCTAGCCCAACCCCCTGCAATGCAGGGATCACAAAAAAAGCATTCCTGTTAGATGGCCGCCCAACCTCTGTTCAAAAACCTCCAATGAAGGAAGGTCCACCACCTTCCACTGTAGAACAGCTCTTGCCACCAGAAAGTTACTCTGAATGTTTAGTTGGAATCTCTTTTCTTGTAATAGAGAGACAGTGTGGTGCAATGGTTAGGACCCTCGTACCTACAGGACCACCTCTCCCAGTATGCCCCACGGAGGACCTCAAGGTCCATAAATAGCAACACCCTAGAGGTCCCTAAGGAAGTCAGATTAGCCTCAACCAGAGCCAGGGCCTTTTCAACACTGGCCCCGGCCTGGTGGAACGCTCTGTCTCATGAGACCAGGGCCCTGCAGGATCTGATTTCTTTCTGCAGGGCCTGTAAGACAGAGTTGTTCCGCCTGGCCTTTGGCTTGGAATCAACTTGATCCCCTTCCCCTCTTTCCTTTTTCCTTTCTCCTTCTGTGATGGAACTACTATTAGGGGACTTCCCTGGCTTTTTTCTGGCCCAGTCTGGATAGTTGGCCTTGGTGAAGATTTGACGTTTTCATCCCCAAAAAGTTTTTGATTTGAGTTTCTACTGAAATGAGGCTGCATTTTAATGTTGTATTTTAATCTTGTTTTTAAGTTGTATTTTAATCAATTGTTTTTATACCTGGTGTTAGCCGCCCTGAGCCCGGTCTTGGCTGGGGAGGGCGGGGTATAAGTAAAAATTTTATTATTATGATGATGATGATGATGATGATGATGTTTGACCTGAAAGAGGAGGGTTCCCACTTGGCCATGAAACTCTCTAGGTAACCTTGGGCCAGTCACCGCCTCTCAGCCTATGTCACAGAGTTGTTGCAGAGATTAAAAAAGGAAAAAAGAGATATAAATGCAGTAAACAACAACAGCATTAGTCATTTGAAGAAAATCCACTCCCCCCACCACCACCCCATGAGCCAGTAAAAGGGCCTGAGCATTCTTTTTTAAAAAAACAAAAAATTATTGATTGTCCCCAAAAAATTAAACAAACATAAATGTCAACCGTATTTAAATCAATCTTAGTGACATTGTTAAGTGACTGCCTCATATCCCCTAGTTGAATTTCAGTGCATATCATTTTAACAGTTTTCCAAAACCAAATTTTCTCATAAAATTAACTTAATCACTTAACATCTTTCTTTCTTTCTATTTTAGCATTAAACATATTAATTCCTAACATTACATATTTAAATCCTAAGCCTATCTGATATTTGCAAGCTTTTCCAATTAAATTAACATATTTAAAGTTTGACCAAACTGCGGGAGGCAGTGGAAGACAGGAGTGCCTGGCATGCTCTGGTCCAGGGGGTCACGAAGAGTCGGACACGACTAAACAACTAAACAACAACAACATATTTAACTAAATAGCCTTTGAATTTCATCCATTCCTCCTGGTACTCCTCCTCCTTCTGGTCGTGGACTCTTCCAGTCAGGTCAGCTAGCTCCGAAAAATCCATCATCTTCATCTGCCATTCCTCCACTGTTGGAACTACTTGTGTTTTCCAATTCTTAGCTAACAAAATTCTTGCTACAGTTGTGGCATACAAAAACAAATTTGACATCTTTCTTGAGCAATTCCAAACCTGTTGCCGTATTTTTCGCTCTATGAGACGCA